CACCCTGTGAAGGTGTCGGTGATGCGGTGAGTGGGGAGCACAAGCCACCCGAACTGACCTCCCGCGCCCTCCGCCTCCCAGCGGCCGGCTCGTCTCACCTGGTGCCCGCTGCCAGACAGGCTGGCGGCCGGACGCCGGCTCCTTAGTGGCTTGGGCCGGGCCGTGAGGCTGGGGGTGAGGCGGCAGGCCGGGTAGGCCGCATTTTCCCCCAGAGGCCTGGACGCCGGCGGGGCTGTTACCATGGAGACCGCGGCGGCCACCCCAGCCCCGGAGGCAGCCGGCCGCCCAGCACACTGAGGAGCGCAGTCTGCAGCCTCCGAGCCCGCGCCCTCCGCGCCCGACCTACGAGCTCAGCGCCCTGGCCATTGGAAACGCCAAGAATGAACTGGAAAATGAGGGAAGAAAAAGGGACCGGGAGTTTGCCAGGCCGCAGACACCAGGCCCGGGGCCCTGCAGGGGCGACGCGCTGCGCTTCCTCCGGGGAGGGGCCGCCCGGCTACACCAAGACCGGGGCTCCGGGAGGAGGCTGGGCGCCATCAGCTCTGCGGACCAGCGCGCCGGGCCTCGCTTCCGCTTTCCGGCTCCGCCCCCGCTGGCCTTCCCACCAGCCGGGGTCCGCCCTGCGGTGGGAGGCTGAGCCTCGCTGCGAGCACTTGGGGGTCTTAACGGAGTCACCTCAGAAACGGCTCCCCCAGCATTCATGGACATTGGGGAGGCCTGTCCCGTAGTCTAATAGTGGCCGGTTACTCTCTGCAGCCGTCAGCTTTGTGTCCTTACTTCATAGCGGTTCTCGCTTTGGGTCGCAAAGTCTTTCTGGTGGATGGAAGGTGCTGTGGGCTTAGACTGCCCTGGGCTGCGGAGCTGGCGAGCTGCGGCTTAATGATGCTTAGTGATTCCTCCCCGCAGCTCAGGCCTTAGGCTCTCTGGTGGCCAAGTAAGCCTAGGGGAAGAGGATGCCTAGGGCTTGGTTGGGACAGCTGGGGGGTACTTTTCTCAAGTCGGAGAAGGCGGCTGCACAACGGTTTTTAGAATGATTGGGGCTGGCAAATAGAGGACAGGAGAAAGGGCAGTTGCCCCGAAAGTGAATATTTTATTCGTGGGAATATTTTCCTTGCCTGCACGTGCAACTGTACCACATGCATTGGGTCGCCTAGAACTGATGTTAATATTAGCTGCCAAGTGGGTGCTGGGAACCAGCACTGAACCATTTCTCCAGTCCCCCCAAAGTATTTAAATGTATGCCAACAAGGTTTCTAAGTTGCTTTCCTTTTCCCTGTACATTTTTTTTTTTTTTTGCACCTGCCATTAATGATTTGTCCCCAAGGGCCACTCTGCCTTAAAACAGTCCTCTTGCCCCGGCACAGGATTTTGATGAGGTAAAGCTACTAACAGGTTAACTGCTATCACTTGAGACTGTCTAAAAGGCAGTCTTAAACCTATAGGCATTCTTATAATCCATTAAAATCCTGTCAAGTGAAAGTTACCCCCTTTTTACGGATAAATCAACTAAAAAATAACACGCACAAGGCTAATTTTTAAAAATTATTTCACTCAGACACTGGCCACTGCTTTTGTCCCTTAACAGCTTTTCCCTTCCATACTGCTGAACTTTACAGTTTCACTGTGATTTATGGCAAATGACCAACTAATGGATAAATGAAAAATGAAAAAAAATGTTTCAAGACCTAAATTAACACTAATAAACATTTTGCTTCACTGCTTAGAACAAAAAAGGTTTTCTGGACAGTGGGTGAAACTGTCAGGTAAAAAGAAGGAAGAGTGGCACAGGAGCAAACTGCTTTTCAGGAGCTTTTAGAAACTTTTCAGGACTTCCTTGGGCTGCTGCAATACAAGGCAGAGCTTTGAGCCCGGCATTACATTCAAACCCCTGCTTCCCAGTAATAAACTGTGATTTTAGGAAATTGATTCAATATAATAAATGTGTTTCTTCACCTGTATAAGATACCTTGCTGGAAGTGATGCAATTCCCTCATAAAGTACCTGGTTCAGGACAGCTACTAAAAAAAAAAAAAAAAAAAAAAAAAAAAAAAAAAAAAAAGTTCCCTTGCCCTTTCCAACTGAGAACCAAAGGTGCTTTAGGACAAGCACCTCAACTTAGAGTTGGGTTACATAGACCATCCACATCTAAAGTTTATATACCATCTTCATTCTTAACTCCATGCATGTTCATGAATATCTACACTGCCAAAATAAAAACTTTTGTTCTAAGTACATGTAAATGATTTTAAGCAGCAATAGGGATAACAAATGCAAGCTTAATTTTTCATCTTCAAACCTAGTTTTGCCTCAATTTGGGTGAGATGTTCCCCAGATATATGTGACCTTTTAAAAGAAAGCCAGAGGGGAATCAGTACTCTACAAACAGGTTCCAGGTACCAAGAATTCACATGTGCTATTCATTTCAGATGAAACATCAGGAAAGGACAAATCAGACTTTGTTTATTAAAAAAATACTTTACAGGAAAAAAAAAAACTATGCATTCCATTGTCCTATTTTACAAAGAAATAGCTTAACAATTTAACACACTTAGACAGCTACAAAAAAGCACTGTGTTAAAAGGATTATTCACACAAATTTAGATTTAAGACTATTCATTAAAAACCTTTTTAAAACACTTGTTAATGTCAATAAACAAACTAAGGCCACACAAACTCAAATAGTCCGCCAGGCAAATTATACATTTCATCTATATGCAAAGACCTCTTAGATAAATTAAAGCCACAGGAAAAAAAAAAGTCTTAGCTGCCAATCAAAATGAAGTTTAGTCACAGAAAACACTATTACATGAAAATTTACAATGTGTGATAGAAGTAGTACGTAAGTCTTTAGAATTGAAAAGTGCTATACTTTAAGAGACAGTGTGGTCTCAACTACATGCACAAGTGGATCCTAAAAAATGTATGAAGAAAATGGAAGGCCATAATATTTATGGAGAGATACTTGCTTTTAAAGCAACAGATTTCCAGGATGAGGGTAAGTCCTTTATGTGCTTAAGAAAAACATGGGTGTTGTGCATTTCCTCTACTTGCATGACCAGTAATTATGGCTACAGACTGTTTTGAAAACACAAAACTTAGCACAATGTGAACCGCTGTCAAGTGCTATTGAAAGGATGAAACAGATGTACTAGAAAGACACAAATTCAATTATCCTAATTATCCTCAATAAATGCAAATAAAAGTTTAAAAAGCAAATACAGATGAAAATATAATGGGCTAATATTAATGATCAAGAATATATTCATTAAGAATATATTTTCATGGATTTTGGAGTCTTGTTCCTGTATTAACTTTCCTTCTAGAGAATATTTATTATAGGGAAAGCAATAAGCAAAGTTTCTCCAGTCGGTTGAGATCTTTATGCCTATTAAGACTGATGACACATCTTTTCCTCAAGTTTAGCAAATAATTGTATTTAATTAATTGTATTTAATTAATTGTATTTAAGAGCTTGTAATATTAGTCAACTTGATAGTTCAACCGACTCTGAAGGGAAAGGGCACTTTCCAAAAATCTTTAAGTAAAAATAATGCACCAGTTAAACTTTTAAGGACTGAATAAGTGAAGTACAATTAAGTTTAGGAATTCATTTTTAAAGGGTTCAAACTTTGGAAGAGGGAACCAATACTGAAGTTATTATTATTGCTTTATGAATTTGGGATACCTATCAGAATCATAATCCTACTCTTACTCTATCTGAATAATTATAGAATGACCTCTGGGGCAGGGGAAGACGTTTGTCCTTTTTAATGGTTACCATAAAACCATTCTATTTGCTATTAGGAATATTCACTTATTATGTCTTTTCCATTGGTGTATTTTTTAAATATCCCTCTGATCCACAAAGTACTAAAACTTATAGCCACATTCTGCAAGTAATCTCAAGAGTTGGCACAACAGGTAATATACCAAAAAGGAAGATCAGCTTAAATTTCAGTTACAACTTCACTGCCATCACTACTTTACAAATCAGAGGATGCCAGATTGCTCCATGCCTCACTCCACCAAACCAAATAATTTAATGATTTAGAAAAGTTGCAATCATTTGTATCACTGAACTAGGATACAGTTTTGAAAGCAGTAAGAAACTCAAAACTTCTGCTTTTATATTCATCAGTCTTTAAAGCATGCTATCAAAATCTAATACTCACATAGGACATTCAGAGTTTCCAGATACATTACTAGCTAAATGTTTCTTTCCATTCTATTGTAATCTAATATACAATGAATCATTAGTACATGATTTTAAACATTTTTATATTCTTTTAATATGTTTATACTGGAGGTGAGGGTAGAATGTTTTGGAAAAAGAAAATGGGATTTGCTTTTGATTGTAGGTCTTTGCAGATCCGCTGGTTCCTGAGTGATTATACACAGTGCTGGCTGTCAGGAGACAGTCTCCTTGTCTATTAGTAATGACCAGCTTAGATGACAGATGGCATCTGCTGGATGGCAAGTGGGAGATGGGGGAAATCGGTCTTGGAAGACAAGAAAAACAGAAATAAAATTTTTTTGTTTTAACAATTTTTCTCTTCGTGATTATTTTTAAAGCAATGTTGCCTAAGAAGAATTCTTCTTTGCACAGCCTGGTAAAGCTCTATGAAATTCTTCTGGACAGAAAAATAAAAATACAAAATAACCCAAACTCATACATTTTGTAATAAACCCCTTCCCCACAAAAATAACAACAAAAATACCCTCAAAAATCCCTTAAAAACTAGTCTTGACAAACTAGAATTTACCCTAGAATTTATACACAGGATTTTAAACACCCCTGTAATAATCACATTACCTTTCATACCATTCTAATGACCTTATTTACAAAGATAACTAAAACCAACATCACTTCCAATTCATAAATGGTTTACATTGAAATTTTTCCCTATTTGTCTTCATCCTTTGTAACAGAGAATACATACATATACATATATATAAGGAATAATACAGATTCTAACTAATCACTGTAGTATTTGCTGATGGTTACTTTTCTATCGATTTACACAGTGACCTCTATACTTTGCTAATATGCATTTAACTACACAACAATATTGCACAAAGTAATATTTATATAAGATTTAACCTATTTCAGAATATTTTAGAGAAAATTCATATTTGATATTTCAAAAGATGCAGCTGTTTTCATGATGGCAGACATAATAAAGCAGCATCTTTTTTTTGCCTATGTTAATGCAAATATTTCAAATCTCACCATCCAGAAAAAAAAAATCAAATTGCACTGTAACCAGGTAGATACAAGAATCTGGTCTTAGGTGTGGGGAGTACTCTTCCTTTAATAAACAAAACGCCTACTGTATTATTAACTAAAAGAAAGTATATGTGTATTACATTAACATTTAAAAATAGAAAGACCACACTACCTATATGAAGTGTGCCTGTTTGAAAAAAAGGGGGAAAAAAAAATATTCAGGCACTAAGCTTTAGCCTACCTGAAACTCTAGGATGAAAGTCTAGTGTCCTATTTATTAGAAAATGGCAACACAGAGTAACAGGTAAATAAACACAGCTATTTATCAGATGAAATTGTAAAGTGTTTCAAAAGTAGATACTCAAGAAGACATTGATGCCAATCACAAGAATAGTTTCTCCTAAGTTTGATGCTTAAATTACGGCAGCCCTCATCAGGCAGACTGATCTCATTCTAACTCTGATACCTGTTACAAGTTTAGGAAGCAAAAGTATCCACAGGAATATAAGGATACTAGGAAGCAGACCAATAAACTATCAGGTCACCATTATCTCTTTTGCTCAAAATATCTCCATATTCTAGAAAAGCTTAACGAACCATGGATAATGAATTACCAAGGACTATTCATCTTTAAATTGTTTTTAATTAAAATACCACTGGGCTTTAAATAACAGACATAAAGACAGTTTGGATCAGAAAGTGCTGTGCTTTCTCTTTTGCTAAGAAACCAAAGAACTACTAAATTTTCTTTAGAAACTACTTGTTCTTTTTGGTTGGAACTAATAACTTACTTGCCCATGTACCAGATGGAGAAGCTCTTTCCTGCAACCAATGCCATTCCTACTGTGGAAAATTACTGTGTGCCATGAAGACACAAGTATTAAACCATAAATCTGATTTCTACCATATAAAGCAAATATGGCGAGACAAGGCAAGATAAGGAAGTGAATGATTTACCAAATAAGAATCTATTATTCCAGAGAATTCTTGTTTTGATTTTAAGAAGAGATTGAATTGTTACCTCACACCTTAAAACAGAAAGTAGCAGCAGACCCACTATTACATACTGTACTAACGGGATAAGATACAACTCTTAGCTTTGCATAATCTGTGTAAAAAAGATATGCTTGACATTTGTGGAATGTCATTTCTCTTTATAGAATTATAGGCAAGATTTCTCCAATAAAACTTAACTTAAGCCAGTTATAAAACTATAACTTCACATCAAAATTTAAAAAAGTTAAAAAATGTGTTTGAATATGTACATATCACAGAGGAGTGCTTGGATGTTCCTGCGGATTGTGTTGCTGGTCAGAGTCCAGTCTACTTTCCACCTTGAACACTGGGATAGGTTGAGTCTTCTGATCTTGCTGTAGATGAAGTTCTGATGGAGGTGGGAAAGACGATGATGCAGTTGTTAAAAGTTGCATCTCTGTGCACGTTTCCTCAGATTCAGTTTTTATTCTCACACACTGGGAGTCAACTTCTAATTCTCGCTTTCCAGTTAAACCACAGTCCATGGTGGAATTGCTTTCTGTGTTTTGAGTAGCTTCTACAACAGGGTGGTACTGTTTGAGCCTTATATGCCAGGCTAAGCTGCATACTGCTGACACTGTTTTGAACTGATGAATGACATTTCTAGGGATGAAGTAGATATCATTGTCGCATAGTTGAATCCTAGCATAGCGAATGCCTTCCCGCCTCATTTGGTTTAGTTTCGCTTCATCCACCCACTGTACACACTAAGAAAAAAGGCAAAAAGTTAACTTAAGACTTTTAAAATATGTAAAGATTTACTCAACAAAATATAATTCACACAGGAAAATAGTATGGTAAACAGTATTAGAACAACAATGAAAGTTAATACTCATAGAACTTGATCTTGTTGTGAAACCTTTTCCTCGTATTTTACCCTTTTCTAGTAGCAAAAGTAAGATGGCCTGTGGAATCACTTAAATCAGAACTCAAAAGTGCAGCCAAACTTCATTGTTCTTTGCCACACATAAGAGCAACATTTTGTCTTCCCCTTGAGTATCTTCCAATGTTTTGCAGTTGAGGCCACAGGACAGTGAAGTTACTAAGTGAGATTGCTCTTGGCCAGAATGAATGACCTGGACCCTTTTTGACCATCTTAGGCCCACCAGCTATCCCAAAGATACTGCTTAGGAACCTCTGTTTAAATATTAATTTCTACCACCACCCTCTACCACACAGAGAATTTGTGAACCCCATTATGAAATAAAATGCATATGAAAATGGGTCCAAATACTTATCCAATGTCTCACTCAAAGTGTAGTAAGAAAGCAAAAATTATTACCTGGGAAACTGGAGGTTCATGAAGGTCTAACTGAAGTCTCTGTACAACATCAGTAAAATCCTCAGCATGAAAACAAATCACATCTTTGGTTATGCGAGGTTGGTCACTCCTAATATTAACAAAATAAGTTTTAGGGATCAACATCCACAATGGAAAATGATAATTTTTAGTATTCCACTTTCTAGAAATGCTACTATTAGCAAACAAATACATAAATAAAATGCATATCTTATAAAAAAACTGTATACTTGCTTCTTTAATCAGTTTTCAAAAAATAAAAGCAAAAACTTTTTAAAAATAAAAATCAGATTACTTGTTGCAAAATTAAAACAATAATGGCTAAAAAGTTTTATTGTAAGCCATGCAAGTACACACCCATAATCCCAGCACTTGGGCAGCTGAGGCAAGAGGATCTTAAGTTTGAGGCCAGCCTGGGCTACTATATAACAAGTTTGATCAAGGTCATCCTGGGCTATATAGTGAGACCTTGTATCAGAGGATTAAAAATAAAAGTTTTATTCTAAACGGGACACATTTGCTGTTCTCTCCTCAGTTTGCATCTCTATGCCCTGAGCTTTGTTATAGCAAAACCAGGCTCCAACTAAATGTAAAATAGTATAGCCACTGCAGAAAACAGTATGGCAGTTCCTCAAAATAATAGAACCAGAATCACCATATGATCCAGCAACTCTACTTCTGGGTATACGTAAAAGTACCGAAAGCCAAGGACATAAAGAGATACCTGCATACCTAAGTTCACAGTCAAATAGTAGAAGCAACCCAAATATCCATTAATGGGCTAACAAAACGTGTGTGCGTGTGCGTGTGTGTGTGTGCACTTGTGTGCATACACATGCACACATGTGTATAACAGACTATACTTAGCCTTAAAAAGGTCTGATACTTGCTACAACGTGGATGAACCCTGAGGGACATTATAAGAAAAATGAGCAAGTTACCAAAAGAAAAAGACCAGAACTGGCAAGATGATTCAGCAAGTAAAGGTACTTGCTGCCAAGCCTAACAACCTAAATTCTATCCTCAGGACCCATATGGTAGAAAGAGAAAACCAACCCACAAGATAGCCTCTGACCTCCACATTCATGCCCATGGCACACACCCACCCCGTTCACACACACAAAATAAATGTAATTTAAAAACTAATTCCCTCATCACTGCAATTAATTTTTAATACATTTATTTATTCATTTCTTCCTGTGTGTGTATACCAGGTGCCATGGCTTGCCTGTGGAGGTCAGAGGGTAACGTGGGAGTTTGTTCTCTCCTTCAACATGCAGGTCCTGGGGATCAAATTCAGACAGATGATCAGGCAAGCAAGCACCCTTAATCCACTGAGCCATCTTGCTGGCCCACAATGATTACTTTTTTTAAAAGAAAGAAAAAAAGATATGCTTCCATGTAAGAAATATCAGAAGTAATTAAATTCAGAAACAGAAAGCGGAGTGATGGTTACCACAACCTAGGGATGAGGAGAGAAAAGAGGAAAGGGAGCTACTGGACATCAAGTTTCAGTTTTGTAGACTAAAACAGTTCTAGAGATGTTTCATAACTATGTGATTATGCTTACATTATTAAAATGTTCAGAAGGTAAACTATGTTATGTGTATTTTACCACAATTTTTTAATTGGTCCCTGACCTTTTAAGCAGAATTTACATTTTTTTAGACAATATTAGCCAACCTTGCAGTTGGGTTCCTTTAACTTACCATTCACCGAACTGTACAGCTTTCAAAACCCCAACAGCAGCCGTACTCTGCCAGTCAAACCCCTGCCCTACATGATCAGCATGAGCTCTTGTCCTGTCTTCAAAGAGGACTTCACGGGGTTCACTGGTCCGAGGTAGGTACTGGAGATTTTTTATTTCATTCATTGATCTTTAGTTGATTTAGTTGTGAAACAAATGAAAAGCAATAGGAAATAAACAACAAAATTAACAGCATTAAAATAATAGGGCCTGCTACAAAACTAGGCTTCAACAAGGGATGAGATAGGTACAATGATTTTGATCATTATAATTTAACACTAACATAATGACTACTATGATTTCCTTCCTTTCCCTGTAGATTACATTAAATAGAAGCTATACTTTTGTTGGGCTCAGACAATATAATACAAGGTTTAAAGCTGTATGCTTCTGTACCCTCAGCTCAGTCACCTTCATTTACAACTCTCAAAATTTTCTACTAGGGCTTAGATTCAAGGTGGCAAACAGCATACATTGTATCTTCTTCTACATTAAATGAAACTAATATGGGCAGTAGAAAGGAAGATGAGGGAATGGATGGGAATATGCATGAAACAGAATTGGGCATGAGTGGAAAGCTCCTGATATTAAAGAAATGGCAGTTGTTCATTATATTCTGCTTTTTGTGCATTCAAAAATTTCTAAATTTAACAATCTAAAGGTATACGTCAAAGAAAAGGTATACAGTAAAGGAAATGAATTAGTGAACAGTACCAACAAACTTTTGCATGATCATATGGTCTTAGACTAATAAACTGAACAGAGAAAGTTAAAGGTCTAGAATATACATAAGAAGAATAACAGCCAAAAAAGTCAACAGATGTTGAAGAAAGTGGAGTCTAAGAAAGACGGGCATAATAACCGTAAGAGACAAAAATAAGTGAAACTGAGAAAGCGGGGATTAAGGTGAAATTCTTCAAGTAAGCCATTCACTCAGCACCCCTGCATAAAGAATGTTAATCAGACATTTAACTCCATGTCTACCACTCAGCATGCACTCCATTTCCCTCATAGGTACTGATTTTCATTAGGTATCTAATCCTACCCTGTGTGTGATCTCATTTACAAACTCCAGAAATGGATGTGGATGAATCCTGTGAAATTACAATAAGCTCATTTCAACACTCAAAATACTGAAAACTAATTCAAAATGAGACATAAATCAATGCCTGCTATAACATGAACTGTTTGACACTATCAAAAGAAACCTGCTCAGGACATTTCCTAGCTTGTAAGAAAAAGAGCCTCTTCTATTAAATATAACCAGATTCAAGTACGATGCTTAGAACTGCTAGAACCAAGCAAACTTAAAGGAAGCCAATATGAGTACAAAGCCTAGGCAAGGAGAAAGGAAATGGTCTGGCTCTTTGCCTACAGACAACCTTTCCCAACCTCCTGGACATACAGGGTAACATTTTGTTTCATTAATCATTTTGGGTCAAAATTTTTGTTATTCATAGGCAAAATCATCCTCATAAAATTTCAGCCAAAAATATTTGCATGTTCTTCTCTAAACTATCTAAATACAACAAAATTCTCTGATATCTGGGCATGCCATTTAACATGCACATTTAACAGTTCACTTCCATGCCTGTTCACTCAACTGTCAAGTTTGAGTGAAATATAAATGGACCCTCCAATAAATGTAAAGCCCCATTCAAATGATGAATGGGTCACCTAAGAATTACCAAATATCTGAAGATAGCAGACGGACAAAGACCAAAAATTCAAGGATTAGAAGAACAAAGTTAAGTAAATGTTTCCAAAGTAAAAGCAAGAAATTAGTAAGATAACCAAAGCAGACCTATACTTCAATTAATAGGGGAAAGGGATGGGGAAAGGAAAGTGAGGAGGGGAGAGAGAGAGGGGTAATGGAAGAGGGAGGGAGAGGGAGAAGGAGAATATTAAAGCAATTAAGCATGAAAAGCTCAGAAAGGAAAAGAGACAAGAACCTTTAACAGGACTACCCAATAACAATTGTTTAAAAAAAAAAAAAAAGTAAGAATGAAAATTCCAAACCAATGTATATTATGAAATTTCAAAATGCCAGTGATAGAAGACGCTATAAGCTTTCACACAAGAAAAAGAAAAAGAAAAAGTAATCTGAACACCAGCATTCATCTCTCTCTTGCTACAAAAGAAAAAAGTTCCAGTTAATATGAGATGGCAAAAGATACATCAAGGAACACTGAAAATCCTCATGGAAAATGTTCCTCTGTAATCCAACTAAATTACCAATCACATTTAATGACATAAAAAGAAATTTCCAGAAATACAATGATTTAGAATATCATCCCTTTCTTAGAACATTACTTGAGAATATACTCAAGCAAGTGAAGGAAATAAATCTAGAAAGACAATACCCACTGGTGGATGCAGTCAAGCATCGAACAGGAAATCCTAGATTTATAACTGTTTAATAAGCCTTCCACACTAGGTAGGGGAGCACAGAGTTCCAAAGGTTTCCATGTACAAAATTGATGTTTATGTAAAAGCTGAAAATGTTGATCCTGCAGCACGAAATAGAAGAGTGATCACTAAACATAACAGAAAGAGGGATAAAAGAGGCTGGAGTATTGGGCACTACACAAAATCAGGTAAGAATAAACTCTACAGTTAGGTACAAGTAAGTTCAATTAGATAAAACATTTCTATAAAAATGTGCTCTATAGCACAGTAGAGTGATTTACAAAATTTACTAACAGGAAAAGTTTGAGGAGATGGAAATACTAATCCAATTTGAGCATGATACAGTATAACTAGTGTCAAATTATCACATTGGACCTCATAATGTGTGGTTATTATATGTCCATTAAAAATTGAAAGAAAAATAAAGTTAAATAATGTGTTAGAGAAAACAGTATTAAAAAATTCAGGAACTGCAGGCCTTTAATCCCAGCACTTGTGAGGCAAAGGCAGGCAAGTATCTGTGAGATTGAGGCCAGCCTGGTCTACATAATGAGCTCCAGGCCAGCTGGGGCTACAGGTAGACCCTGTCTTAAAAACCAAACAAACAAAGAAAAATCAGGAACAATTTGAAGATAGGGGTGCCTGGAATAATGGTGCTTACTGTGCAAGCATGAAGACCTGAGTTCAGATCTCAGCACCCACATAAAAATCCTGTCTTGGCTGTACTTCTGCATGTAACCCCAGCACTGTGGGGAAAGAAAGGAGGATCACTGGGGCTTGCTGGCCACTAGCCTAGTACCTGGTACACTGATGTCCTGACACAAAGGAGTAAGACAGAGAGTAATAGATCATGTCCTCTTTTCATCAACACTTACATACAGGTACACATACTCACACACAAATGTGTACATATGCCACATACTACACCATAAACATACACACACACACACACACACACACACACACACACACACACACACACAAATTTAAGAACAGTAACAGAATTTGGGTTACAATAATGAAGTCACACAGAGAAGAGAAGGTCATTGTGTTCCCAAAAGAAAATAATGATTCTTCAGCAACAGAGAAACCAAAAATTATTCACAATACAGGCAAGAAAAGGGTGTACCCTGCCTCAAAAAGAATAATCATAAACTGTAGGGAAAACAGAACAATTTTTTAAATGATCAAAATATAAAACTAAAATGTGGCATGATTCTGAATACCAAGGTAAAAGAAAAGGAGTCTGTATTCTCCTGAGCAGCGACATCAGAACCTAGAATACAAATTATTAGTCTATCACTTGAATGTGAAGTAAATATAACCTCCATATTGCAAATGCCATTTGCTGTCTTTCCAATTTTAGAATGCACATATTGATAAAGCATTAAAGACCTAATGATAGTTTAAAGCAGAATATAAATTAACTTCCACAAGTACAGCTAAGTACAGCTGGCAAGTTGGAAGGAATAGGCAAAAACAGAGGTCATTTCACTATTCAGAAAGTAAGGGAGAGGAAGAAACATCCACTGATCATAGCATGTTTGCCTTCTTTTTAGTCTTCTCCTTTTAAACATTTGGGTTTGTTGTTTTTGTTGTTGGAGGTTTTTTTTTGGGGGGGGGGTCTTTTTGAAACAGAGTCTCCCTGTAGCCCCAGTTGACCTGGAACTAGCCTCAAACTCACAGATATCCACCTGCCTCTGCCTCCTGAATGCTAGGATTAAATGTGTGCCACCATACCCAGCAATGTTCATTTTTTTAAGAAATACAGAACAAAAATGCATATAGCATTAAAGAATTTAGTAGAATTTCAAGATCACATCACCATAAAATATTAAATTGCTGTGGTCTAGGTAATGTATAGAAGCTTTAACTGCTGGGTTTTATACACTACCACCTTGCACCACACAGTGTTTGTTTGTATATGTGTGAAACAGGGTCTCATGTATCCCAGAGTGGCATCAAACTCACTTTATAGACGAAGATGTCCTTCTGATTCTCTTGCCTCTACCACACCTGGATGAGAGAACTACAAACGCATCCCATTTATGCCATCCTGGGGACAGAATCCAGGGTTTCCTGAGTGCTAGGCAAGCAGTCTACCAATTGAGCTACATTGCTAGCAACCATATAAAAATTTTACAAAATGTTTTCCATGGATCATCTTAAGTATCTAAAGTTAACCTATGCTTAGGTATCATCCTCAGATGAATTTTAAGTTAAATTAAGAATAATCCATGGAAACTCACTTTTGAGCTCCTTAAAAAAAAAAGTGAAAAGGGGTCTCACTATGTAGCCGTGGCTGGCCTGGAACCACAGAGGTCCACCTGCCTCTGCCTCCCAAGTGCTGGTCTTAAAGGCATGTGTTACCAACACTGGGCTTGAACTCTTTATTTTGAATTGCTACTTCCACAGCCCTAGTAGAGGTAAATCATTTTCAGTCTCATTAAATAAAAATTTTCAAAATGCTACAATAAATCTACGTTTATGTATATGAAAGGGAAATATCTTAGCACAATAAGAATTACCACAGCACTGTACAAAAGCATATTATTACATGCTTCATTTGGCAAATCATGGTCATGAAGACAGAGAAAACTAAAACAGTCCCTAGCCTCAAGTAACTCAACTTTATTAAGGAACAAAATATGCAAACAGATCATCAAAAAGCATAACGTTGTATGAACAGTGATAGGACCAATTAATTATCCAACAGAACAAAGAAGAGCTTCATGAAGATGGCATTCAGGTAAGTTTTGAAGCTTTACTAAAAATTTGCTAAGCAAAGACAAAAGTTGGGGAGAGGGCTGTACAATTCAAAAGTAAAGAGTAATGAAAGATGATGGTTTGGCAACTGAAAAGCAGATATAAAGGTACTTTGAGGCTATATTATCAGAGATGTTTACAGACCACACTAAGGAAAATCTGATCTTTTATTCTACAGGCAGTTAGGATCTAGTTTTTTGTTTTGTTTTGTTTTGTTTGGGGGGGGTCTTTTTGCAACAGGGTCTCCCTGTAGCCCCAGCTGGCCTGGAACTCGCTATGTAGACCAGGCTGGCTTCGACCTCACAGAGATCCGCCTGCCTCTGCCTCCCAAGTGCTGGGATTAAAGGCATGTGCCACCATATTTGGCTGTTTTTGTTTTTTAATATTTTATTTATTTATATTTTATGTGTATGAGTGTTTTGCCAGTATGGAAGTACACCTTGTGCATGCAGTGCCTGCAGAGGCCAGAAGAGGGCATCAGATCTCTTAGAACTGGAGTTACAGAAGTTAATTAGTGGCCACCTGTGTGCTAGGAACCAAACCTAGGTCCTCTGCACCTCTGCAAGACCAACAAGTGCTCTTAACAGCTGAGCTCTCTCTCCAGCCCCAGGATCCAGGTTTTTAGAAACAAAATAAAAATTAATTTTTGGGACACTGATGACTATATAATAGGTTATCTGAACTAGGGGACTGACAATTACAAGATTTACCTAAAGAAACACTTCATAAATCCAGAGGAATCGTTTTCAAACCATACTCAGATACCAATAATTTTTATAAGCTTAAAAATTAGTAACTTTGTTTTTTTTTTTTTTTTTGAGAAAAATAAATGTTTACCGTCGTCTTTTGAAGGGTGACTTTGGCATATCTGCTGTAGGGATCATCTGTTCTCCTGGCCTTACCCACATTATAGGCCCATCATCACTCTGGGACCTACACTGTAGTCGGAGGCTGGAAAGTGTACCCCAGGGCAAAGTCATCTAGAAAGTGAATGAGTTAGTCACATTAAAAATATTTTTTGACTAGTTACAGATTTATCCCCATCCAAATAAAAGTCCTAAAAAACTATTTTGTGTATATATATATAAAGAACTATATTGTATTATATAGTAACCTAAATAAAAATAACTGAACTACTTTGTACCAATAGTTTTCTAAACATTTCTATTCAAAATATTACATAAAATTTAATTTTGATAAGCAAGATTTACTTAGTACTCTAATAGGTAAGGTGATCACGGACACTTAGGTAATGATCAGAACATTAATAATCTAAATGAACACTCACTTTCAGAAATGGTGATTCTTCCAACATATCAAGGAACTCTGGGAAATAATCACCAACTTCTTCATCTACTGCTCCAACAAGACTTATCTGCCGCATTGGACCTGCTCGGTAGGTGCCACAGCAGTATGTCCTATTGACCTAAGATGAAATGAGAAAAAGGAAAAGAGACTGCAGTGCACTATAGAGAATGAGAATACTATTTCCAATATTGCTATATCTTCTATATACTAAGAATTCAATGGTCAATTCTTTGGACAAAGTTAATCACTGCAGTCACCCCCCCAACACACTACAAATACACTGGTGTGGTATGTGCCACAAACAGAAATTTCAATGTTTAAATTAGCCTACAGTTCAAACATCTCAAAGGAAGATATCAAGATTGTTTAACTGAATACACTTTATTTTCAACAGAAAAAGCCGAATAAACAGTAGAATTGACAGGTCAAAGAGAAAATATGACCACAGCCAAATTAATCTTTCATGTCCATTGTGTATTTCTTTTCTTTTAAATTTTATTATATTTACGTGTATGCATGTATTGCCTGCATGCAGGTAAGTGCACCTGTGTTGTGCAATGCCCACAGAGGTCAAAAGAGGCTGTCAGATCCCCTGGGACTGGAGTTAACGGACAGCTGTTAGCTGCCACGTGGGTGCTGGAATTCAAACCCGGATCTTCTGCAAGAACAACCAGTGTTCTTAACCTCTGAGCCATCTCTCCAGCCCCACTGTGTATTTCTTAGCTTAATCTGCATCATATGAAGCTGATTACTATATCAAACTCAATCTCTCATTTCTTCCCCTAAGGGCCTTCACTTTCTCAGCACTTGAGAGGCTGAAGTGAGAGGCCAAGAGCTTCATGTTGACCAAGGCTACAGGGTGAGCCTGAGGCTGGTCCGGGCTACACAGTGAGACTCTGTCTTATAAAGTAAGAATGAGGACTGGAGTGATGGCTCGGTGGTTTAGAGCACTTTCTGCTCTTGCAGAGGACCTAAGTTCAGTTCCCAGCACCCTTTTCCAGTAGCTCACAAGTGCCTGTAACTCAAGCCCCAGAGTATCCAATGCCCTCTTCTGCCTCTGTGAGCACCTGCACTTACCTATTTACTAATACACACACACACACACGCACGCACGCATGCACGCACGCACGCACGCACAATTTTTTAAAAGCCCAAGGACCAAGAAGACAAGAGCTTTCACTTCAGGCAGGCTAGTTATTTTCTCTGCTCAATTTTTATCAAGTATATTTGTATGTCCAGTACCTTCTCTCTTAAATATGTACAATTTGTAATGTCTTTTCTGTCAAACCAAATATTAACTAACTTTCAAAAAAAAAAATCAGTCATTTCTTTTTTTTCTCAGAAGTTTTCCTCCCCATTAACTTTCTCTTTTATGAAGTCTAATAGCTACCTACAAGCACATAGATATTTTCTCTATACAGGCCGAGACCCTCTTGGGACCAGAGTAGTTCATATTTTGAATTTTTTAAGATTTTTGAACACTTGCCAAAAGTTCACAACCCCCTCTTTTTAAGACTTGCTATATATAAGTCCCAGCAGGCCTAGAACTTGCTATATAGAGCAGGATGGCCTTGAACTCACAGAGCTCTACCGGCCTCTGTCTCCTGGGATTAAAGGCCTAAACCACCATTAAAGGTTGGCCATTCTTTGGGGTTTCTTGGTTTTTTTCTGGTTTTTTTGAGACAGGGTCTCCCTGTAGTCCCAGCTGGCCTGAAATTTGCTATATAGACAAGGCTGGCCTGGAGTTCACAGAGATCTTCCTGCCTCTGCCTCCTGAGTGCTGACATTAAAGATCTGGGTCACCATGCCTTTTTTTTTTTTTTTTTTTTGCTACTGTCATCAGTCATTCTTAATACAAAAATCTGAAATGCTCCAAAAATTCTTTTCTTTAAATTGGTGTTGAATTTGGGATACTCAACCAGTAAGACTTATCTAATGAATTCAGGGCATACTAAATACATCTGCAGCCAAGAATAATCAACCTAGCATTCAAACTGAATCTGCAATTAAATCTATATATTATTTCTCCAATCCTTTCATCACATAGGTTCTTATCCTAGAGTGGAGTTTTCTAAAAGGTAGAGGGATAGATCCTGTGCATACAGATAGATTAGATTTAAAATGCTGGATTCTAACAAGGATTTCTACCCCAGATCAGTTAAATAACCAGTTTCTACATCAGTTAAGGCACAGATTAAGTGCAAGAGCCCAACACACTTATACTTTTATAAGGTGGGTCTCTACTGAATATTCAAAAACAATTTTACTTTACTTTTTAAAAAGATTTTTTTATTATTTTTTTTTTTAATTTTATGTGTATGGATATATTGCCTGCATGTATGTGAGTACACCCGTGTCGTGCAATGCCATGGAGGTCAGAAGAGGGCTTCAGATTCCCCTGAAACTGGAGTTAAGGATGGTTCATAGCTGCCATGTGGGTGTTGGGAATTGAGCTCAGGTCCTCTGCAAGAACAGTCAGTGCTCTTAACCACTGATCCAACTTTCCAACCTCTATTTTTATTTTTATGTCTATGAGCATTTTACCTGCATGTATGTAAGTGTACCACATATGCTCCTGGTGCCCTCAGGAGCCAGAAGAGAGCATTGAATCCCCTAGTAGCTATGAGCTACTCTGTGGGTTTTGAGAACAGAACCCAGGTCTTCAAGTGCTCTTAGTTGCTAAGGCACCTCCCCAGGCCCACAAAAACATTTTGATCACTTAATATTTCTTTCACAATTCTTCACTATTAGTTCCTTCAGCAACATTTTAAAAACCATTCCCTATTTTTCCCATAGACAATTTTACACTACCACACATATACACATATGTGGCAGGGAGGAAAAAGGACCTTGTTCTCAAGTAGTAGAGATTTCTTTTTTTGTTTGTTTGTTTTCAATGTACATTTTTTAAAATTTATGTATTATTTTTATTTTATGTGTATGCATGTATTGCCTGCATG